GCTGGTTTAGTGATCTGTGCCACGGACGCCCGCAAGAGTCTCCAAACAGTGCCCAAGAGGCCCGCAACGCCTCAATCGTGGGCTCCCCGCCTCTTCTTGGGGTCGGCGGCATGGTGTAAGCCTCTTGACTGCCTTCTGCGTAGACCTCTTGACCCCTGGAAGGCGAGGCCATTTCGGGCGTTGGCAGAACTAGGTTTAGTGGGACCTGGTTTAATGATGTTTACTGGGGGACGCCCCCCCCCGTCCCATTCCACTAACCGCACTTGCCGTCGCCCGAAAGAGCACCAGCTACGGCAGACCTGGTTCCAGTGATTCTGGCCCATCTGGGGGCTCCGGGGCCCCACTACTGAGCGGGTCCCCTCACCTGGGGCCCCGGCTGTACCCGAGACGAGATGCCGTCTGCGGGCCGCCTCTGCTGCCCAGGCCTCTCCTCGCCGGCCTGCTCGCTTCCTCTGGGTGCTCCACGTGCGCGGAGGCTCGCCCGTGGGAGCCGCCGACGGGAGGGCGCGCGGCCTGCGCCGCGCTGGGGTTGCTGGGAGGTTCCCTGGTCTTGCTGTGGCCTCGCCTGGAGTTGCTTGGTCTTGGCAGGGCCAAGCAAGCCCAGGCAAGCAGGGAAGCAAGGAGGAAGCAAGCTGCTCCCGTACTGCTTTCCCCCGGCTGTTTGGTATCGTCTCCAGGCAATGCCAAGCAACGCCGAGCAATCCAAAGCAAAACGCCGAACAGTGCAGAGCAACGCCAAGCAATGCCAAGCAACGCCAAGCAACGACAAGCAGCGACAGGCCACACCAAGCAATGCCTAGCAACGCCAAGAAACGCAACACAATGCAAAACAACACCAAGCAACGCCACGCAATGCAAAGCAAAGCAAAAGCAACGGCAAGCAATGCGCCCATGCAGTGGTACACATTCTCCTACTTTGGGGTCGTGCCGGAATGACTTGTCTTCTGAGCCCCCATTGCCTGCCCTCCGAAGCGTGGAATCGGCCCTCCTTTCTTGGGACTCCAGCGGCGCGAGACCTGCGTAGATCCCAGACGAGACCTCGCCTCGCCCCCTTCTGGTAGCCTGCAGAGGTCGCCGAGAACTGCTGCCGCTGCCTGAGCCCCTCGGGGGGAGGAGGAGGAGGAGGAGGAGGAGGAGGAGGAGGAGGAGGAGGAGGACCAGCGGATCGGCGACCTGCGCAGGTGTGGATGGGACGTCGCGCCCCTGGCAGGATGCATCCAGCGTGCACACCGAGCCGCCGCCCCCTGGCGCCGCAGCGGGGGCTGGCGGAGCGGTGCTCCACGAACACATAGCGAGGGCCTTGGATAAGTAACGGTTGGATGAAGAATGCTCCTCCTCCTCCTCCTCCTGCTCCTCCTCCTCCTCCTCTCCCTCCTCTCCTCCTCCTCCTCCTCCTCCTCCTCCTCCTCGTCCTCCTCCCCTCCTCCTCCTCCTCCTCCATCCTCCTCCTCCGCTCCTCCTCCCCTCCTCCTCAGCCTCCTCCTCCTCCTCCTCCTCCTCTCCTCCTCCTCCTCTCCTCCCTCCTCCTCCTCCTCCTCCTCCTCTCCCTCCCTCCCCTCCTCCCCACCCCCTCCCCTCCCCTCCTCCTCCCCCTCCTCCGACCTTCCCCCCCTCCTCCTCCTCCTCCTCCTCCTTCCTACTCCTCTCATCCTCATCCTTTTCCTCCTCCTCCTCCTCCTCTTCCTCCTCCTCCTCCTCCTCCTCCTCCTCCTCCTCTTCCACTTCTTCTCCTCTTCCTCCTCCTCCTGCTCCTCCTCCTCCTCCGCCTTCCTGCTCCTCCTCCTCCTCCTCCTCCTCCCCCCCTCCTCAGGGCTTGGATCTGGAAGCCTGTGGAACTCCTGCCGCGGACTGGCCATGCAGCCTTGAACGATCGGCGGCCTCTCGATCGCCAGGTCGCTCCATGCTGGCAGATGCCGGGACAGTGGCTGCGCCCAACCTGGAACGCCCGCGGCGGGGTCGCCGCCGCGTCGGCACTGCGCGAGCCTGCCGCATTAGAGGAAGAACAGCTTGAAACCACATAAGCTTGCGGAGGTCCGCGCCGATTTTTGGATCGGCGCTGGACCTCACAGACTGGCGCGCGGAGCGCGGCGACCGAGGCGCCGCTGGGCGCCAATTCCCAGGGACTCAGCGCTGGGCTCCGAAAGTTTATGCTCGTGCCGCTGGTGTTCCTTCTTCGGCCAGAGCGGCCCCTATGTCGGCGTCTTGACTGCAGGAGTCCCAATCTTAGCCGCCCCGATGCGCAGCACGCAATCCGCAGCGTGCTGCGAGGGAGCTCGACACGTGGACTGAAGGCGCACGCTTGGCGCGACACGCTCACCCAGACGTGGGACGACACGTCGAGCCACCGCGCAGCATGTTGACACAGACGTTCTGAACACGGTGTGTGCTGCGATTCAGAACGGGCGTACAGTCGAGGCGTTGACCTAAGGAGCCCTAGATAAGAAACGAGGCCCCTTGTTCTCATAAGTTAAACATCGATGTCCCATGGAAAACCTCAGGAAGACCTGACGCAAACTGTGTAAACAATCAAGAGCACCGAGCCCCTCCCCAACGAAAAGGGTTCCTTCTTCAGTGCCCCGACGGTATCAGGACAGCGAGAGTCCCATTCCCGACCGCCCTGCCACGGCGAGGGGCGAGGGCGCAGCGCGGCCCCGCCGAGCCTCCCAGCCTGGCGTCGCCAGGCGTCCCCGAGGCGCTGGAGAGGGGTGGACGCGGGCGAGGGCGCACACGCCCCTCGGGCGCGCGAGAGGAGGAGGAGGAGGAGGAGGAGGAGGAGGAGGAGGAGGAGGAGGAGGAGGAGGAGGAGGAGGAGGAGGAGGAGGAGGAGGAGGAGGAGGGGAGGGGCGGATGAGGAGGAGGAGGAGGAGGAGAGGAGGATGAGGAGGAGGGGGAGGAGGAGGAGGAGGCGGAGGAGGAGGAGGAGGAGGAGGAGGAGAGGGGAGGAGGAGGAGACGGAGAGGAAGGGGGAGGAGGAGAGGCGAGGAGGAGGAGGAGCGGGAGAAGGAGGAGGAGGAGGAGGAGAAGGAGTAGGAGGACCAGTGGAAGCCCAGGAAACGTCACCTGCACTGCAATGGGCCCTCCATCCGACTTCCCTCTTGGCAGGCCCCTACAATAATATTTCACTGCGGGAAATGCCCCATTGAAAGACAGCTTTTTGAGAATCAGAAGTCCTGCCAGAACGCCACTCCGGAAACTTCGACGGCGCGAATCAACGGGATTGTTGCGTCTTGACGCATTCCTGAGATTTCAGCGCCGCGAATCCACGTGACCGGCACATCCTGGCAATCCTAAATCGTGCTAGAACACACTTTCTGGAAAGTCAACACAGCGATTCCACGGGACTGTTGTGCCCCGACAATCCTAAATCTTGGCAGCGCAATTCACAGGAGTTCAACAATACGAATCCTTGAACCTGCTGCAAGCTTTCGAAACGAATGTGCGCGGCAGAGACACATTTTGAAAACGGCCCGCCCACCATCCCTGAAGCGGCTGCAAGCTTTTACGACGAATGTGCGCAGCGCTAAAATACTGCATTTGCAAGCGGCCCGCCTTCCATTCTCGAAGCAGTTGCAAATTTCAAGTTCCAGGACCACATATGGTGATGACGTCTCAAGCGACACGCCCGGCCTGCCCGACCGACGCGACTGGAGCTGCAACAGGGAATAATCATTTACAGGGAACAGAGATGGAGGAGGAAAAGGAAGATGAGGAGGAGGAGGAACCTTCGGAGGAGGAGGAGGAGGAGGAGTCACAGAAGCTGATCCTGTGGAGACGCAGTAAGGCGCGGCATCGGCCACGAATCTGCCCAGGCGCCGGCAACGGACACCCCCTGCAGCTCGCCCAACGGTGCGGGCGTTGGACCACGCTCACTTCTCATCATTGTCACATGCGCACGAACCTTCGGCACTGCGACCGCCAGCGTTAGCAGCGCTGTGCCCTATCAGCGTCGTCACCGCGGCAAGCACAACTCAGCCCGCCAGCGACAATCGACAAGCAAGGGCGGCCGGGAGAACGACGCAGGGGCGTGAAACTGCCCGCGCGGAATTGCCCGCTCGAAATTGCCTGTGCGAAATGACCCGCACGACGACATGGCCCAAGAGCTGCCGCCCAGAATGGCCGCACGAAAAAAAAGGCACCCAAAACTGATTCCCTGGATTCGTTTGCGAGCGCCCTCCAAAACCAGAAACCGCCTGAGACATGCGCACACCAGCTTTGTGCGGACAATTTCGGACCACATTTCGTGAACCATTTCGTGATGGACCTCGTGCAACATTGCGTGCCTCATTTCGGGTGGAAACAATTTCGCGCTCGTGCGATGGTAATTTCATGTCCGTGCGACCTCAAGTTCGCGCTGGCGCACAAAATGAAGTCGCGTTCAGGCAGCACTCGCTTTGAATGTGTACGGCAATTACGCTGTTCACTGCCAGGGACTACAACAGACATGTCACGCTACGCGCCGACATGACAAAGCACGACGGCCGACTACCAGGGGATCCAGGGAGAGCAATGCGCGGCTAGCGGACCCTTCCGCGTGCGGCAGCGCCACTTACGCAGTCAAAACAACCCCCTTTTCCGTTTGGAAAAGATTTCGTGTACGCCCCCGTTTCGATACCAAGGGTTGGACACCTACGAAAAAAGGAGGACAACAAATCGAGCCCACGATCTGGATAACTCGCTCCGGGGCGTCCCGGAACGCTCTCAGAGCGTTATGGAACGCTCTGAGAAGGCCGCGGCGCAGGATGCGGAGGAAGGGGAGGAGGAGAAAGAGGAGGAGGAGGATGAGGAGGAACAGGAGGAGGAGGAGCACAAGTTGCACGAGACGCAGCAGGTGCCGATCACGCCTACATGCTGTTGGCACCCTGATGAGCTGCTCGGGGGAAGGTAAAATATGCGGAGGAGTTCTGGGAAAGGGAATGCCAGGCTTTGCTAATCAAGTGGGCGCACAGCAAGGTGTACACCTGAGCATGGAGGAGGAGGGGAAGGAGGTAGGCTCGACGATGCTTTTTGCCTGGCGGTGGAAACAAGGCCATCGAGTTGCTGCCTGTCGCAGGGTCCTCTGCGGACTGGAGTCCGCCGTCGGCGAGGACGGCGAGGTCGGAGAGGCTCTGCCGCCCAGGTGCAGGGCGAGGAGGGTAGGCCGGCACCCCGTTCTCGCGACGGTGTCACGACGAATTCGGCTTGGCTGTTTTCGGCCTCTGGGGGTCCTTACCGGGCCTGGGAAGAGTCAAAACACTGCATTCTGGATGACAAGACCGCCCGGGGGAAGGGACCGCAACCTGAGAGAGACTGTGTTTCACGGGCCCTGTGCTGCGCAACATCCAGACTTCCTATTCCTTCTGCTAGAACCAGCACACCAGAACCCGTCCCCTCCCCCTTCCACGCCAGGAAACCTTGCCGGAAAAGAATGGGAAGCGCTGCTTTTCTGAGCTTGCGTGCGAACGCGCGCATGGATTTGCAACCACCGCGCATGTGTGCACATGGATGCAGTCGCTTGGCTCCCCCAAAATGCCCAGATCGTCGCAGTTGGTAGCTCGTGTTCAATGGTCGCCTGCGGTTGCTTTGGTCAGGTGCTGCGCGTGGCCTATGCTTGTGTGTGCGTATGTACATGTGCGTGTGTGCCTGCGTGCGTGCGTGCGTGCGCGTGTCTGTGTGTGTGTGTGTGCGTGTGTGTGTATGTATGTGTGTGTCTGTGTGTGTGCGCGTGTCTTTGTGTGTCTGTGTGTGTGTGTCTGTGTGTGTGTGTGTCTGTCTGTGTGTGTGCGTGCATGTCCCCCTACAGGTCGGGTTTGCCCCCCTACAGGTCGGGCATGTCTCCCTACAGGTGGATTTGGGACGAAATATCTAAAATAGTCCAAGCATCTTCAAACATAGTGAACAATAGTAGAAACATCTTCCCCGCACTACTTTTAAAGCTATGTTTGAAGATGCCTCCTGTCGAGGGACAGGCCCGACTCGAGCAGATCGGTGTCGGTATCATATCCTCCTCTGAGACTTGCAGGTGGCGGGGCAGAGGGCGGCTGGGGCAGCATCGGGAGCGGCCAAGAGGGAGTGTCCAAGAGAGGGGGTGCAAATCATGGCCGGCGGCATGTGCGCGGCCCCGGGGGAGGGCCAGGGACGCAATAGAATAAGAAGGGGCGCCATGAGATCTGGGGAGATATCCTGGCCCCCGCCATGATATCCACCCCCCTCTAGTCTTAAATCGGGCCTGTCCCCCTACAGGTGGATTTTCGGCGAAAAACTTAAAATACCCCAAACATACACCAAACATGTCAAACATTAGCCTGACGAAAGACCGAACCATATGCAAGTGTGAGTACCGCAATTGTGATTCACTTTTAGGTGGTGATCCCTATGAGGCAACGAAACGTGCTAGGGGTGTGCCGGAATGAGTGGTGTGGTACACAACGCGAACGCAAACAAACAACACAATGCGGACTGCGCCACGGGGACCTTCGGTGGGGCTCCATATGGGGCCACGAAGCGCTGTACTGGGTGAGGGAGACGCATGCGGACTGCGCCACTGGGACCTTCGGTGGAGTTCCCTATGGTGCCACGCAACGTGTGAGGGGTGCGCGTGCCGAAATTAATGGCGGGGACGCACGCGAACTGTGCCACAGGGACCTTTGGCGGAGCTCCTATGGGGCCACGAAACGTGTGAGGGGTGTGTCGAAATGAATGGCGGGGACGCATGCGAACTGTGCCACTGGGACCTTTGGCGGAGCTCCTATGGGGCCACGCTGCGTGTGAGGGGTGTGCCGAAATGAATGGCGGGGACGCATGCGAACTGTGCCATTGGGACCTTCGGCGGAGCTCCTATGGGGCCACGAAGCGTGTGAGGGGTGTGCCGACATGAATGGCAGGGACGCATGCGAACTGTGCCACTGGGACCTTCGGCGGAGCTCCCTATGGGGCCGCGAAGCGTGTGAAGGGTGTGCCGACATAAGTGGCGGGGACGCATGCGAACTGTGCACTGGGACCTTCGGCGGGGCTCCTATGGGGCCACGAAACGTGTGAGGGGTGTGCCGGAATGAGTGACGGGGACGCATGCGAATTGTGCCATTGGGACCTTCGGCGGAACTCCAATGGGGCCACGAAACGTGTGAGGGGTGTGCCGACATGAATGGCGGGGACGCATGCGAACTGTGCCACTGGGACCTTCGGCGGAGCTCCTGTGGGGCCACGAAAGGTGTGGGGGGTGTGCCGAAATGCGTGGCGGGGACGCATGCGAACTGTGCCACTGGGACCTTTGGCGGAGCTCCTATGGGGCCACGAAACGTGTGAGGGGTGTGCCGAAATGAGTGGCGGGTACGCGTGCGGACTGCGCCACGGGGACCTTCGGTGGAGTTCCCCATGAGGCAACGAAACGTGTCAGGGGTGTGCCGACATGAATGGCGGGGACGCATGCGGACTGCGCCACTGGGACCTTCAGCGGAGCCCCTGTGGGGCCACGAAACGTGTGGGGGGTGTGCCGAAATGGGTGCCGGGGACGCATGCGAACTGTGCCACCGGGACCTTCGGCGGAGCTCCTGTGGGGCCACGAAACGTGTGAGGGGTGTGCCGACATGAATGGCGGGGGCGCACGCGAAATGTGCCACTGGGACCGTCGGCGGAGTTCCCATGGGGCCACGAAACGTGTGAGGGGTGTGCCGAAATGAGTGGCGGGGACGCATGCGAATTGTGCCACTGAGGCCTTCGGCGGAGCTCCTGTGGGGCCACGAAACGTGTGAGGGGTGTGCTGACATACGTGGCGGGGACGCATGCGAACTGTGCCACTGGGACCTTCGCCGGAGCTCCTATGGGGCCACGAAACGCGTGAGGGGTGTGCCGACATGAATGGCAGGGACGCGTGCGAAATGTGCCACTGGGACCTTCGGCGGAGCTCCTATAGGGCCACAAAGCGTGTGAGGGGTGTGCCGAAATGAATGGCGGGGACGCATGCGAACTGTGCCACTGGGACCTTCGGCGGAGCTCCTATGGGGCCACGGAACGTGTGAGGGGTGTGCCGAAATGAGTGGCGGGGACGCATGCGGACTGTGCCACTGGGACCTTCGGCGGAGCTCCTATGGGGCCACGAAACGCGTGAGGGGTGTGTCGAAATGGATGGCCGGGACGCATGCGAACTGTGCCACTGGGACCTTCGGCAGAGCTCCTATGGGGCCACGAAACGTGTGGGGGGTGTGCCGAAATGAATGGCCGGGACGCATGCGAACTGTGCCACTGGGACCTTCGGCGGAGCTCCTATGGGGCCACGAAAAGTGTGAGGGGTGTGCCGAATGAGTGGCGGGTACGCATGCGAACTGTGCCACTGGGACCTTCGGCGGAGCTCCTATGGGGCCACGGAACGTGTGAGGGTTGTGCCGAAATGAGCGGCTGGGAAGCATGCGAACTGTGCCACTGAGACCTTCGGCGGAGCTCCCTATGGGGCAACGAAGCGTGTGATGATGTTGATGATGCTGATGGTGATGGTGATGATGACGACGATGACGATGACGATGACGATGACGATGATGATGAGGATGATGGTGAGGAGGATGATGATCGCACTCCCCTGAGCGCGCCAGAGAGGGGGGCAGTTCAGCTGCCCTCTGCCGCGGGCCTCCTGATGAGCAGGCTCCGCACGCCGCGCCCCTTCTTGGCAATGTGGCGGGCACGCGCGCGCAGGAGAGGCAGCAGGCATTCGGGCCCGTGCCTGTGCGAGCTCCTCAAGGAGTTAAAGGTAGAAAAAAGCAGGTCGTGGACAAGAAACAAAGAGAACAGCTGCTGACTAGACTGGCATGGCAAAGTGCACAGCATACGCGCATCGAGGCTCTGATTCAAATATTCGACTGGCAGGAAGGGCAAAACAGAATGGAGCAAGCTCAGGACATGAGGGCAATCGAAGTAATGCTGGACGTGGTCGCCGCCTGTGGCCAGGCAACCGAAACGGCAGGTAAGGCGGCCTTGCCTATACCTGGCAGAGGTCGCCCACGCGTTGCAGATGGTTTTGAGAATGGCCGCAACCACAAATGGGCCGACGCGCGTGCAGGCAATTTGGAGCCTGAGCACCGCAAGGTCGATACTAGAGGCATCAGCAAAAGGAAAAGCGAACCGAATTCGATTGCCCAGGAGAAAACTCGCGGAGCTACAAGGGGCCTCAGAAAGCAATTTCTTCAAAATCTGTCTCTGCAACTCGTGAGTGTCCTCATCGAAGTGGTTCCACAGCAGGGCAGTTAGTCGCTCGTAATTGTGAATCAGGTGGAAAACAATGGACTCGGCACGCCATGCCGGGTATCGCTTGACCATCAGAACATCCAAGTCCTCTTCCTCAAGCTCATGAAAGCGCTTCCGAATGCTATCAAAAAACCTTAGACCGAACAGCGACCCGATACATGGCAGCCTGATTCTCCAGCACTAGGTTGCGCGGGGCAATGGGCCAATGCAACGCAGACGAGAGATTGCGGAGAAGACCAGTAGGGATGCTGTAGAAGGGGCATGCGGTGAGAGTCTGCAAACCTTTGGTTTCCATGCGAAGAGCGTCCTGCGATATGTAACATAGCTGCATCACGAAGGTGAGAACCGAGAAGGCCAAGGAGTTATATGCATATATACTTTGAGTAAGCCCAAGACGAAGCGACCGAACATGACGGACACGATTAATATATTTCTGAAGCGGAGCGGACCAGGATTTCTTGCAACCTCCAGGGCCCAGAAAGACACCCAAGACTTTGCCACTAGTGCCGTGCATAAGCGAGCGAACGTTGGTGCGAACGGACTCGAACAGGGCGAAATGCTGGTCGTCTGGCATCTCTTGCACGTGCACGATCATACACTTGGCAAGGTTCAAGAGCAGGCCAGTGCAACGGCTGGACCTAATAACATTCTTCAGCACAATCGGAACAGCGAGCAACAGGTTGGATGCCGAGATCTGGATGTCATCTGCAAAGGCACGAGGGGTAGCACAAACAGGAGCTAGCAAGTTAGATAATCGGCGCAGCAGCGGGTCGATGCATAACGCAAATAAAGCACCCGACAGCGGACATCCTTGTTTAATGCCTTGGGTGATCGAGTAGCCTGGAAACTTCTTTCCTGCTAGGCATATGTGTGTGTAAATACCGGTGTATAGGAACCGAATGGCATTCACGATATACATGGGTATGTTCATCATGATTAGCACATCTATGATCCAGTCGTGGCGCAGCGACGGGAACGCGGCGCGGAAATCCAAGAGGAGTAGCCCAGCGTGCGGCATGCCGCGATAGCAGGCGCATTCAAGAATGTCTGCCTCAAGGCAGAGCAAGTTGTCGAGCATAGACCTCTTGCGCACGAAACCCGTCTGGGAGCCTAAGACGCTGTACTGGCATTGTCGGCTAAATGGTTCGCATATGGCCAATGATACTATTTTGTTATCAGTGTTGCTGAGAGCAATAGGGCGCACCACAGACGCTTCCCGAGAGATCTCAGAGGTTCCAGCTTCGTGAGGGCAGATGGCCTTAGGGAGGTATACCGTGAGAGACTCGTTGAAGCCTTTATGCGGGGGCCCATATGTAGGATTGTCCAATATAGCGAGATAAACTTGATACAAGGCATTGTGAGCAGCGTCTCCAGCGAACCGCCAGGCACTGTAGGGAATTCCGTCAGGGCCAGTCGCGCTGTCCTTGCGGCTGACGAGCTTACCTATGAAGCTATGCAGGTCGAGCGTCCACTCGATACCTGGGGCAACCTGCTGAATCTCACTGCTCAACAGTGTCTTCTGGAAGTGGTATCCCCTGTCCTGAGGCTTCGCGGCATGGACCCGCCCCCAGTGGGACGCAAGGTTCTGAGCACTGACTTCGAGATCAGGCGAGGGGTCCCGGTGGGGTCGGGGACCGAAACCAGAACGATTCGGCGCCTTTTGGGAGACCACTGTCGCAGAAGCTGGTGCAACCTGAGGCCTCGATCGTCGTCGGGGGCTCCGCCACCTTCGACGTGTTCGCGAATTTCTCGCTGAAGCAGAGAATGCTGGAGCTCGGCCATTTCCCGATAAAAAGACACAGAATCT